GACACCTCCATCATCTATAAGGGTCGAGTGATCCGTGCTCTGGCGAGTAAACTACAATCAGGCCTGGATGTTTTGTCCGACTATTTTAAGAGCTGGAAGATTTGTATCAATGCAGCTAAAACACAAACCATTCTGTTTCCACATTCGTATTCACCTCGGCTTGTCCCGCCTGCTAACGTCAAGATCCATCTTGATAGCACTCCCATTGAATGGTCGAGTGAAGTAGTCTACCTTGGTCTCACCCTCGATAGCAAATTGCTATTCCGATCCCATGTGGACAAGACATCCACCAAGTGTAACATCTTGATCAGGTCGCTCTACCCTCTGATAAACAGGAAGTCCACCCTGTCCCTCAAAAACAAGCTTGCTGTCCACAAGCAAATCATTCTGCCGGCTATTGAGTATGGTATGCCAATCTGGGAGAGTTGTGCTAAGTGCCACCACTTAAAGCTTCAGAGGATCCAAAACAAGATCCTCAGAATGATCCTTAACAGTCCACCGCGAACTCGTAATTCTGAGATTCACCACCTGGCCGGTCTTCAAACACTCGAGGAGCGAAAGACTTCCACGCTGGAAAGGTTCAGAGTCGCCTGTCTGCGATCAAACCACCAGATCATTCGTGATTTGGCAACCTAGTTTAAGTAGTTAGGTGCTCAAGTAGGTAGGTTATCAAATTTTTAAATTCAAACCAAAACAATCCCACAAAGGGTATCCTGTAAATTAGCGCTAAACGCAATCATCACATTAGAATAACCAATTAACTAGAACAAAGATGAAGAGCCAAAGGCTAACCAATTGAAATGTTAAATCAAATGTTGAAACATAAAACCCAGAAAATAAACGTAAATTTTACTACTATGGCATTAGCTCATTTTTGCTTCGGACGGTGTGGTGAACAGCAATTGCAGCAGTAGGAAGGTGGTGGCTAGTCCACTCCTTCACACCTAACAAGCCACAATTGACTGGTCGTGGCAAAGGAGGAAAAGGTCTGGTAAAGGAGGCGCCAAGCGTCATCGCAAAGTTCTTCGAGATAACCGCCATCGGTCTTCTGGCTCGCCGTGGTGGTGTCAAACTTATCTCCGGTCTGATCTGCGAGGTGTGCTGAAGGTGTTCCTGGAAAATGAGGTCCGTGATGCTGTCACCTACACTAAACACGCCAAGCGTAAGTGGCCATGGATGTCCTCTTCAATAAAACGGCCCTTTTCAGGGCCATCAAGCTTACATCAGTAAAGAGTTGGAATAGAATTTATCTGTGCTTGTTAGTCCATATTCAGAACCACAAGCCCCCAACGACCACACAAAATGCTCTCCAGAGTTGTAATCTTGTAACCAAACTTGGAAGCAGGGGTGCAAGTGATTTTGATTGATTCTCTTAATCAACTTTCTCTTTAAAAAAAAAATACTACAAATTTGGTACGCCTACAATTCAAAAACGGAAAGAGTTGAGATAATAGATAATTGATCAATTAAAAGAACGAAATGCTCTTCACATTTATTCCGTCCACTAGCGGTCCTACGTCAAGCTTCCGTTCGTGCCCCTAGGCACAGACCCTTCTACTATTTTTTATCTAGTTCATTTATTTGGAAGGCTCAATCGCGTTAGCTTTACAGAGCCGATAATTTGTAACAAAATTCACTTAATTCTACGTCTAGTAGGAGTTGGGCCGAATACTCGCGGCTTACCCGAGCGGTAGAGCGGTACATTGTCGAAGATAGGATAAAGGGAGGAGCTTGGGGGTAGGGTTTCGCTGTCTCATCAGAGCGATGTCGCGAGTATGGACATGGTTTGCTATATGAAATGCATTTCAATTAGCGAACTTTAACTCCGACTACTGTAAATAAACATTAATCAGTAGGTACATAGGTAGGCGCCGCTAATCAGTAGGTACATGTTTGGAACCTATTTTTGAATGGGATAGGAATTTTGAAATATGAAAATTTAATTAAATTAAGGATATTGATTGTCTCCTAATTTCAAAACTTAGAATTGATATTTTGTTTATTTTAGGTTAAATTAAAAAAATCAGTAATGTTGTAATTATTATTAAATTGAGCTTGGGGCACAACCCTTAACTTTATTTAAATTGCTGGAGCCCTGATCATGCTTCAAAGTGGCAGAGCATTGAAAGCTTTCCAGGAACAACAATGATTTTTTTTTAATCTGTTATCTTGTAAGTTTTCCATTATTCCACATTTTGAGTACTTTTCCCAATCTTATATTCTAAAAGAAATTGTTTTTTTTTCTAAACCTAAGACTTTAAGGTATTTCGCTGTGAGATCCTTATTCTCGTAACCACTTCGAAACGTTAAGTGCACAAATATCAGTTTTGAGTGTTCACTCGGCTGTCGACAGAACCAGGCCACTCTCAATGTGTGTCACGTGATTGTCTGTTTACTCGGCAGCAACCATTGTGTGGTCCTTTTCATTGTTCTTCATCAGTAGTTCTTTCGGTCGATGCGTCGTCGACTTTGGAAAGCAACCGTTTCGTGATGAGTGTGTGCGTGATGATCACGTTTTGCGTCCATTACTGCAATGGATGTGCTCTGACCACCCCCCCCCCCCTGTTGGCGATACTGCCTTACACTGAAAACACTGGAATCCCGTTCTAATGGAGAAGGTTTATTGGATAGCGGAAGCGTTTATTGTATTATAAATTTTGACTATAGTGAGCAAGAATCATCGGCTCTGTAAAGTTAAATTGATTGAGCCTTATCTAATAAATTAATAAAGAAAAAAATCAGTTTCCTCGAAACGTACCACATAAAAACTGTTACTACACGTTTGCTGTACTGCAGCATTCATGAAGTAGACATTTAAGGTGAAATGGGGCATTAATTTCTGAGATTTATGTAATTGAAAATTCGAAGTGGAAGTGCATGTATAGCCTACGTGGCGGCTATTTGTGGACTCTACAAGGAATCACCTTAAAGTTTTTAATATTTAACAAATTAAATAAAAATCACACTCTAATGTTCATCAAACCAACATGCATTCTCAAAGCTTCAGAATCTTGAACATTTTCTTAATCCCATTTTTTAAGATTACAGACTACGCAAACATTTACTTACTCCGAGATTTCCAACAATTTTCCCTAGATCTCATTTGTATCAAGTTAAAGATTACTTAAACAATTTCTTAAACAACCCATTCAGTTCAATAACGTTCGGCGATTGACATTATGGCACAACACTTTGAGACGATGACGGAAACGTATATCAGGCTGAAGGTTGAAGCCAATCGGATTGGACTCGTCATTAATGCGTCAAAGAAAAAATAAAAAAAATTATTTGAGAAACAGCATAATTCACGAATAACGTCGGTTTCTTTTTTGTATGCTGTTTTTCAGCATTTGTATCAAATGGAATTATGCAGTTTCTCAAATAAATGATTCAAATACATGAGAGGAAGAGATTCAATAGAAAATAATGTCAGAGTCCCACGACGAGTTCGCATGGTTATGAAATCGAGGGGGTAGACGAGTTCGTGTATCTGGGCTCATTGGTCACCCCCGAAAATATGACTCCAGCAGAGAAATCCAAAGACGCATTATGGCAGGGAATCGTGCTTACTTTGTACTCCGGTGGAATGAAATTCCCTGCACCAGGAAGCTAACTATCTACCAAACGCTGATTAGACCGGTTGTCCTCTACGGCCACGATACATGGACTATTGGTGTTTTTGAACGGAAAGTGTTGTGTATCATCTACCGTGGAGTGCAGATAGAAGACAGAAAGCTGAGGAGGCGAATGAACCGGGAATTGCACCAGCTGCTGAGAGAACCACCCATCGTCACCACCGCCAAAAGCCAGGCCATTACGGTGGGCTTGCCATGTCGTAAGAATACCCGGTCCGGTGAAAATGGTTCTCGATAATGAACCAACTGGATCGGGACGAAGGATGGATCGAACAGGTGGCAGACAGTGAGACTGCTGGTGACGTGCAACCATGGATCGAGTGGAATGGAGACGACCTCTGTGCACAGCAGAGGACACCCAGACCTTAGTCTGACTGGTAAGGTAACATGGATTCATTAGTTAGTTAAACCACGATTTAAATCCATGAATTACCTTCACCGCGGAGGGTAATTATTGAGTAAATAATACTTATCATGCTTATAAATTGATCATTTTTAACTGAACTTTGATAGAACCCAATGTAGGCTCCAATGAAATAACTAACGAAGAAAGTTATTCCAGAAGGTCATGAAGGCGTACGTCGACGACATCGCTGAACTGAATTCAACTTGAACCACAGTAGTTCGCATATCAATAAATTGATTGCTTTGTAAACATGCATACATTTTAGCACAACCCTTATACAGCTAAAAGCAACGACGTAGTATCATAAAAGAATGCGTCAGTCCGCAACCGATCGATTGCACTTCAAAGTGAAGTGCAAGGTCCTGTGTCCGTGGGCCACGGACGACCGAGAGCCCTCTTGCATCGCAGCTAAAGATCAATTACGATAACCAGAAGCCCACAATTGAAAGTAACTAACCTTCCCACTAGCAAGCTCCAACCTACCAGGGGTACAACATTGTGTGAGTGGATAAAGTGTACATAGCCCAGAGTGCATTCGTGAGATGTGATCTTACGATGCAATGCAACGCAAAACCGTGGAAGCACCGCCGTGCATGTGATGTTATTGCTGATCGGTTAGTTCGTGTTGGCCATATCGGCAGTAGCTGAACGGCGAAGGTCGCTTTCGTTTTCATTCAGGTGGACCGTTCGGTGACAATGGGATCAATTATAATTAGTGGTGGCTGGGTGTGACAAAACAACAATGATCCGGTTTTTTTTTTTCATGGGTCGAGCTGCGAATGAAATCCTGAATCATTGGTGTTGGAAAGCAAAATATATTTTGAATCTGAGTATTGTAAAAAAAAAATATATATATAGCTGTAATATATTAGGTACTGATTTGAACTCTCTTAAGAGGTAGCGTTTTTTTAAAGCTTTATAGCGAGATTTTTAGCTCGTTGGCTAGTTCATCTCGTATTAACAGGTAGCGGTTTTATTTACTTTGCGTCCGGATTCCCGGTATATCCAAATGAATTGTATTCTGTGAAAAACATAAAACAAAAAAATATCAACCTGGCGAATCCAGCACGAATAAAACAATGTTTACCTAAAAAGTAGCCCTCATAGTGCTGCAGCAGCTTTGCTAGTGCCATTCCATCACAGTCCGGTGCTTCCAACGTTCCACCGTACTTGGGCGGCAAACACTTTGGGCTGATATGCTTCGTCAGCGAGTTCCAGTTCTTACCGTGCATGTAAGTCTTTCCTCGCAGTTCCTTGCTCATGAATGGTTTCAATATCGCAAACAACACATTGTACATCATGCCATTGTTGACGGTGTGCATTCCGTTGGTGACTATCGGAGTGCACTTTTCAATCAAATCGAACAGGAAGTTTGAACTGTGAGGCGTAAAGTGCGATATGTGGCTCATCGAGATTCCGTCCACGTCGAATAACACCTTGCATCCATTTCGCTGCGCATCCGGATTGAGCATGGTGGCTAAGCCACCGATGCGAATAGCGGCAATGAATTCAGGCAACGAAATCTTCGACGGGTTCCAACGATCTGCAGAGGATTCGCATGACGAAGACTAATTAGTTGAAGGACATTTTTTAATTCAAGATCAACTCACGACTCATTTCCACTACGCATATCACCGACCCATCGTCATCGCATTTTGGCAGATATCGTATCAATCCTTCTTCAAACACGTGTTTTATCTGAGCGTAGGGCACAGCATATTGCGGTTCCTTTTGAAGCAACCGGTACCCGTAGTCCATCAAGGCGAACGCTCTATTTACATCATTCTCATAGCAGTGCAGATACAACATCACCGTCCAGTTGCCTTGGTCGACCACCAAATTCAAGTTCCGTTTGGCCTTCGCACGTTGGCGAAATTCGGCCAAGGCCTTCGCCGTCTCTTCCGGCAGTTCCCCGTGGCGTCTCATCAGTTTGTCTTCATCGTACGCTGCTCGGTTCAGGCATATACTGTAGCCACCTAATAAGTCAACACAGGGATGATTGCTCTCGTTGAACTTGACCGCCATGCTGGCTGCAATGGAAAAGTGAATATTGAAAACCAACGACTTTTACACTGCAGAACAATTATGTGGATGACTACATTTAATCGAACTGTAAAAAAAATTCCAAACCTCTGTATGATGGTGTAGCGTACACTCGAGCACTCGGTACCAGGAAGATCCGCAGCAGACTGAGCGAACTTTCAAGCGAGCGAAACGGAGGAAAAAAATAATGTCTCTAGTAGGTCACCACGCGCGGTTTGCCTCTATGCTCCATGAAGGCTACATACTGCATACAATACAATAGGTACCTAACAGCAAACGGCTGCCTGACCATACATATTTTGGCTACACGCGGTTTTCTAATGTTGTGAGTTGGATCTCTTCGAAAAATAAACTCATATTTTTGAAGCTCTCTCTTTTCACCTGTTCAGCAGTGCGCGCGCGGTTTGATTGCGGTAGGGTGGTTCGGAATATAAAGGAAAAGAAATCAGATCAAGCAGCAACCGTGACAATGATCTTGGAACTTAGAAAAGCGGTTTCGGAGTTATGTTAGCATTAATTTGTGTTGCAAAATTCGAGATTTGTCGCTTGCTTATTCTTATGTTTCCTTTATTTTCCGTCTGCCTCTGTCCCGCAGGCGCATGTCAATCAGTGCAAATAAAAATCATTTCATCTAGGGTAGAGAACTACTTCGGCATAATCGCCCATTTTGGGCCTGTCGAGCAGAAAACTTCAAATAAATCCATGATTTCAGAGCTAACAAGTCAATTATGCGGTTGGTAGGATACTTAAGTAAATAAGCTACCGAACGAAGTCAATGAAAACGAGTGATATGAAGGTTTGCACCCATTATTCCTAAAAACAAAAGTAGCGCTCCGAGCGAATCATGTTTTATCTTCATCCGATAAGCCGAAGTGAATTCTTTGGCATTTCAATGCGTTAGGCCGAGTTTAGAATCCGTAGGCCGAGTTTGACGTCAAGAAGCAGTGTTAGTCTTTTGACAATATCTCAACGATTTTGGTTTTTCTTTATCGAATCTTACGGTACCTACGGAAAGGTAAATAAATTTGAAAGCCATCAGTGATAATAACATTCCGTTGGGTGCTTAACTGCGCTAGATGAAGAAATACTAAGTGCGGGTTGTGCTTAATAGGCCGGAAATGGGGTAGTTAACCCTACACTCAACTGAAATGAGCTGAAACTGAAGCCAACCTTAGCAGATAGACTAATTACCTGCATGAAATTTAATTTTGACATAACTAAAGAGACTGAATTGGGTAAAGAGGCGACATCTTATCCATTTGACAAGTCTTCTGCTCGATTGGAATAACTTTTCCTATGACTTTGACAGATAATCGATTGTTCCAATTTTGACATTGCCCATCCCGGTACCGTGTCAGCAGGCCACCTATCAAAGTTCAAAGCCAGCCCATACCACTGAAGAAGACGATTCGTATTCTGGGGGTACTTGTTGACCGGTCCCTCAACTTCGAGCAGCACTTTAAGGCGATCAAGAACGACTGCCGCAGTAGGATCAACTTAATCCGCACCATCTCCCGCCCCCACCGGTCTAACAATCGCGACACTTGTTTCCGGGTTGCAAGTGCCGTCATCGATAGACACCTACTGTACGGTCTTGAGATGACGTGCATCGCCACCGAAAAGCTCGTGCAGATACTAGCACCAACTTTCAACACTTACGTTCGGATTGTCTCCGGTCTTCTTCCGTCAACGCCCGCCGATGCCGCATGCATCGAACCGGGTATTTTGCCCTTCCGCCATCGTATAATCGCAGCAATTGCAACGAAAGCCTGTTGCTGTCTTTACAGCAATGACCTCCGGAAATGACAGGATCTTTCTCCTCGATGAGGGGAACAGACTCGTACCGGCCCATACTGGAGCTACCCGATTCGTACAGCGTACATCTCGTACATCTGAGATCCCGACTCACCCCTGGATGCAGGGTATCGTGGAGGCCACACCCCCGAACACGGTGTTCACCTGGATCCTTTGGCACTGCGGTATCCCAGGAAATAGCGAAGTTGACAGCCTGGCAGGGTCTGGGCCAGTTGGCCCCCATTACATCGACGAAGTGCCACTACAGGACATAAAGCGATGGATAGTCAGAAAAATGTGGGAAGCCTGGGAAGCAGAGTGGTGCCAATCTCAAACCCTCTTTATCCGAAGAATCAAAGAAACGACGAGTAAGTGGACGGTTATGTCGAAACTACGGAACCAGAAGGTGGTTTCTCGTCTTAGGACAGGCCTTACAAGGATCTCACATAGTTTTGGTGGGACGCAGTTTCACAGAATGTGCTACGTTTGCAGAACCACTGCATCGGTGGAACACATCTTATGCCTGTGTCCGACTAGATCAGCTATGGCAGATTATGCACGAGTATGGATTTCCGGATTAGCTGACGCGATTGGTCAAGGCGACGCCCTAATAAAAATAACCATAATAGAGAGCTTAACGACGTGTTCGGGGTATCATCCAAACCATTTGTGGGATAGTTTACCCATCCGGGATACAGTTTGTTTATGGTATTTGTTTATTAGGGCGATGGATCAAGTGATGTGCGTTGTTCTAGTATCGGGACACTCTCGAGACCCTTTGAATCACGAAGAGGGTTACGGCAAGGTGATGGACTTTCGTGTCTGCTATTCAACATTGCGTTAGAAGGTGTGATCAGAAGAGCTAGGATAGACACGAGTGGCACGATATTCAGGAAGTCCATCCACCTCCTTGGCTTCGCCGATGACATTGACATTATGGCACGGAACTTTGAGACGATGGAAGAAACGTACATCAGACTGAAGGCTGAAGCTAGGCGGATTGGACTTGCCATCAACGCATCAAAGACAAAATACATGAAAGGAAGAGGTTCTAGGGAAGACAATGTTAGCCTCCCACCCCGAGTTCAGATTGACGGTGTCGAAATCGAGGTGGTCGATGAGTTCGTGTATTTGGGCTCACTGGTGACCGCCGAAAATGCTACCAGCAGAGAAATTCAAAGACGTATTATGGCAGGGAATCGTGCCTACTTTGGACTCCGGAGGACGCAGACGAAGTTGACTGTCTACAAGACGCTGATTAGACCGGTGGTCCTCTACGGCCACGAGACCTGGACTCGTGGAGGACCAACGCGCCCTTGGTGTTTTCGAACGGAAGGTGGATGAATCACGAATTGCATCAACTGCTGGGAGAACCATCCCATCGTCCACATTGCAAAACTTGGGCGACTATGGTGGGCTGGGCACGACGCATGAATGCCGCATGACGACCCAGTGAAAATGGTTCTAGAAAGCGACCCAACAGGAACAAGAAGAAGAGGCGCGCAGCGGACAAGGTGGATGGACCAAGTAGAAGGTAACCTGCGGACCCTTCGCAGACTACGAGGCTGGTGAACTGTGGCCATGGATCGAGTAGAGTGGAGACGACTTCTTCGAACAGCAGAGGACAACAAGGCCTTAGCCTGATTGGTAAGGTAAGGTAAGTAAGCCTGTGTCCGCAATACCAACATCTACGGGAGCAGTACGCACTTTTCAGCAGCATTAGGGACATACTGGACGACGAACCTTTCACTTTAGTGTCAGTTATTTATTTCCTCAAGGACGCTGGGCTATACAACAACATTTAGGTTTTTTTTAACTTTCTTTCGGCTGCATGACATCTCTGCCGGACGGGGGATTACCAACAATCAATACGAAACTATCGATTTGAAATTGGCCCACTACTTGACTAGCCTATTGGTCCCAAGCAAACGATTAACGTATCCCATTCTAGTCGGGATTCTAGTACTACACAATGTTTGTTTTGATTCTCTATGAAAGTTTGACAGATAAAATGAGGGGTTCGTGGATTTTCCCATGTTTCGTGGGGTGCATGGATTAGCTTGAGACCGAAGATGGTACCAGAGCTGAGCCAAAAAGTTGAGCACGTTTCTTCGGGACCTTCTGGTCTTAGAGTTACCTCTATGGGATTACCCCTCCTACGGTGGAGCTCCGATCTCTTTCAGAACCCTACATAACTTTGATGTACCAGATTGTTTTTTTTCGTTGCCTGTTTTGTTAGCCTTTTACTGGAATCTGTTTTAATTGCCTCTATTTGAGTACATGTGAATTGCAAGCCAACTCCGTAACAAAATTAGCAGACAGAACCCCCCTCTGGGGCCCCCTATTTTGTAAAGAGGAACTAGCCAACGGCTAAAAATCTCTCTAATAAAGACAAATAAAAATACAGTTGCCTTTCTGACGTTTATATCACGTACACTTGCGTAATCCCACACTTGCGTTTTCAAGTGCGAAGTTTGTTATCCTCACTTTCGCTTCAGTCAAAAATGCCTGTTTGTTATTGTTATCCTCACTTTCGGACCATCAATACTCGTTCGCATAGAATCTCTTTATAAATTCAGGATCTTTAGACATAACAACATTCTCTTGATCAAGGCAACCTCTGAGTATCGAAGTCAACATGGGGGTGAACAGTATTCAAAATAATAATTTTGCCAAAAATTCTGATTTTGATAATTTTGGGTTGGATAATCAAGCACTAGTGAATATCAATAAACTAGTATTCGTTGATATATAATGAAATCATTTGCTATTTTTGTCTGTAGGTTGCAACGAAGTTTTTAAAACAAACGCAATTCATCTACACTGGGTTGAAGCGCTATTCCTTGTGTGAGATGGTAAATGATAAAAACAGACACTGATGCTAATCGACACCAGTGAGGCAACTTCACACCTGGAACCTTGATATCGAATCCAGCAACATCGGGAAAAATAGGTTTAAGATCCAAGGGGTAAGTCACTCAATACATTGTGCCGAAAATAGATTCAGCACAGCTTGGGCACATCCGTCGGCACACCTTAGACACAATATCTTAGTTATTAGATTGTTGCAAAAAAAAATTGGGAGCACTGCTGGACTTTTTTTTTTTTTTTAATCTTTATTTTGGAGATTTTTATCCTTAGGCTAGTTCATCTCTAATGCTGGACAACTGTAATTGAAGCAAAGCAAACTAAAGAAGTATAAAGAGAGAGAGAGAGAGAGAGAGAGAGAGAGAGAGAGAGAGAGAGAGAGAGAGAGAGAAGAGAGAGAGAGAGAGAGAGAGAGAGAGAGAGAGAGAGAGAGAGAGAGAGAGAGAGAGAGAGAGAGAGAGAGAGAGAGAGAGAGAGAGAGAGA